TGCACCGTAAAACACGAGCATCGAAAAACGTGATACACTTCTTATAACAATAATATCCAAATAAAGTAAATTCAAGCAACTTCAAATACTTGCAAATTATGCAGACATCTATCAACTATGTGTGATTCTCTGCAATTTCTCATTTTAAGAACTGGTGCTCATTGGTGCACATAAAGCATTATACATCTCCTATGACTACGTAAGGCCATGTTTGCTTTTTAGCGAGTGTATGAGTAAAGTGGCCATTGTCTCAAGCTTAAGTGTGTAATCTTATCGCAGAATTTTATTGAAACCATTTTTGAATGATGCCAGAGAATCTTTTCAACTTTTCAGAAACCAAAACTGTCTTCTCGGTGTTTGCATTTCATATTATAACCTTACCCTGCAGCACAAAAGAAGCATCACAAATACGCAATAACTCCCCGAATGTACGAATTAACGTTCGCGCCTGCCTTCTTCTCCAGCTGACACTACCCTAGGTAGTTGATTGATTGCTTGATTGATTGATTGATTGATTGATCAACTGATATGTGGGGTTTAACATTCCAAAACCACCATATGATTATCAGAGGCATTATAGTTAAAGGTTCGACTACTTGTGGTTATTTAATGTACCCACAAATCTGAGCACGTGGGTCTACAACATTTCCGCCTCCATCGAAAATGCAGCCGCCGCAGCCGGGATTCAATCCCGCGACCTGCGGGTCAGCAGCCGAGTACCTTAGCTACTATATCACTGCGGCAGGGCTACCCTAAGTACTTTGTATATATATATATATATATATATATATATATATATATATATATATATATATATATATATATATATATATATATATATATATATATATATATATATATATATATATATATATATTCCTGTAAAGGCCAGACTCTAGGCCGAAACGTCGAAATAAACCACGTTGTGACCGCTAACGGAGGATCTACTGGACTATATGCAACGCTACGGCCACTCAGCCACCATGCCTGCCAACACAAGACCGGCCACAGGCGCACCTCCAGTCGAAAAGGTCTCACGGAATTTCCCTAAACATTCACCAACATCAGCCATCATCGGAAACTCGCAAACAAGGTATTTACATCGGCATTTCAACCCGCATGAGAAAACGACACCTGCAATCATTTCCATCCGCGGAGCCTCCACATTCGACATCGAGAAAGAGCTTGCTGGCATACCACGATCTGTGACCACGCTCGTTTTTCACGTCGGTACGAGCGAGCTGGCGTCGTAAGGACTAGAGGAATCGCTACGCCGCCTTCGCCGCCTAGTGAACAACACGCTTCGGACACGCCAGGAACTCGAAAGGCTCGTTGTTTCATGCGTGCTGCCCCGTTACCTCAACCTATATATATATATATATATATATATATATATATATATATATATATATATATATATATATATATATATATATATATATATATATATATATATATATGAGAAGAAAGAAACTTGCCGTGGGCAGGATCCGCACCTGCGACCTTTGAATAACGCGTTCGATGCTCTACCACTGAGCTACCACGACAGCTATCCCCCCAGCCACTTTATTGGGTATCTATGTCAATTTAAACGTGGGAATATCAGTCAGCGCCACTAGTAGCCACCGCGGCGAGTGTGGCGCACTCTTTATGAGCCTGTTTGGCGTCACGTGGCACGTGAACTTATTACTAACTGGCAGCTGACCAATAGTCCCCCGTATACAACCAACAGGCACCAAGTCTGCCAGTACGAGACCCTTGCTAAGGAATAAGCGAAACAAGTGTATACTTAAGGGCTCGTTTTTTGTGTTTTACACAATAATAATGAGATCTAACGGACAATGCCAAGGAAGGTATAGGGGAAGTTATTAGGCCAATCGTAATGTAAATGAGAAGAAACAAAAGTGGGTAAAAAGATAACTTGCCGTGGTCAGAATACCAACCTGCGACCTTCAAATAACGCGTTCGGTGCTCTACCACTGAGCTACCACGACAGCTATCCCCCAGTCACTTTATTGGGTATCTATGTCAATTGAAACGTGTGAGTGTCAGTCAGCGCCACTAGTAGCCATGGCGGCGAGTGTGGCACACTCTTTATGAGCCTGTTTGGCGTCACGTAGCACGTGAACTTATTACTAACCGGCAGCTGACCAATGGCTTTGGCTGTTTAGGACAATATGCCAACGACACCGTACGCTCCCTCCGGACGTCCATACTTCCCACTGGACCTGCTAAGCAAGCTATCGTTTAAACACGAATTCATTACTGGTAGCCTTCACATTAATTCCACAAGAATTTCAAGAAACCACGAGCCGCTGACATACATGTCGCATGTTGCCGACTCCTGAGACGAGTGTCAGCTGCGTAGAGGAACACATAGTCTGCAACGGAATTGCAGCAAAATTGAATGCAGCGTACGCAGCAGCCAACTTTAAAAATTGGTTTCCTGGCTTAAACAAAAAAATATTTACCAAGACTTTCCTAAACCCTTAACGATTAACTATTCTATCAAACAATGCCACATCATGGATTCTTACGTGTACCGCATCCGTACATGAAGTGCTATCAACTTTGTACAGAAGTGAACGTTTCCTAAAACCATACTGGCAACAAGATCGCTTATGGGGAGTTTTTGGTTTGCGAAAAAACAAATCCGAAACTTTGGGTGATTTTGATGTTCTTGTTTTTTCAAATACCTACCGATCAGTGAAACGCGAAGTATTTGCAACTGTTAAACATGGTAACTGAATAGAAGCTCTGTAGTAGCACAAGCGCTGCCTGAAAACTCAAGACGCAAAAATTGTTTCACATGTATGTTCTAATGAATACAGTTCATCGAAGCAATCGAACTTTGGTGAGAGTGTGTTAGGAGGGAGGGGGACAACTGTGGGCCCAGGCTATAGCCAGACGATCACAGCGAGTGCTCTAAGACAAAAAGATATCATTTTCTGTGCACGTCGACAGCTACGAGACTGATCACTACATGAACACATATATATGTATACGCGTTCTCGGTCTTATGTGGAAGGGGAGTTAAAGTTCGTCCACTCAAACCGCACTCTCTTGGAGCGCCAATGCTGCGACCAACCGGGTTCTCTCGGCGTTAGGAGGCGGGCCGCGTCATACTTCCCCAGTACGTACCGGGACGTTGGCCGGCCCCGCATAAAATTGCCAGGGGCATCCCAGCATGGCAGTTGATGCCTGGTCTCACGCCTGGATCCACCGTATAAAAATAACGTCATGACGGCTGCCACGCACAGAACCAGCACAGCTACCTGGACAGCGTGTCACACCGCTACAAGAACAACAGCCAGCCGCGAGGAACGCCTCTACACACATGGCTATGCCCAAACCAGAAGGAACCCAGGATTCTTGACGCCAAGAAGAGGTGCAGACAAGCTGGATCGCAACTATTTTTCGTGGGTGCCTGGCACGATATTCGATCCCCAATGGTTCTCTGCGGTTTGCCGAGCGGACTCCATCTCTCGAGCGCTTTTCTCGAGGCCACCGCTAGAACACGCACAAAGTCGCACCTCTTCTGTAACACGGTGATTCCCGCGCACTTTGACAAATCTTCCCCAAACAGCTACCACAAATATCAAATCAGACCCGCAGACCGTTAAAAATAAATTACAAAGCACACACTTCCCAAGTCTCTGTTTTACCACATTGTGTGCATGCCTGTGTGTTTGTGTTGAAACCACCCCTTGTGCTTCTACAAAGATCATCTTTAGCTGTGGTAATTACCCATTGTAAAGGTTTCGCACTTATTTTCAAATTACGTTGAGGCTGATTGCAATAGGTACGTAGGCTAACTTTATATCATTCCGCTTTCACCTCTAAAATCAACAAAAAGTAGTTCGGTACAAAAACACTTTTCGCAATACAAGCTATGCACGATGAAACACAAGAATAAACTAAAGTTTTCTGTCGCAGTTGTCGATGCCACTATTGTGGCAAACAAAGACAATGACATGAAAACCACAAATAAAATTATGAAATTGTAAAAGAATGATAAAGCAACTTTGCAGTATAGTTGTGCCACACCTGAAAGAAGTTAGGAGCTTGGAGATCTTCCTATTTTCTCTTTGTTTCTTTCCATCTTTTTCTTTTTTTGTCATGTTTATTTCAAGTTTTTTTCTTAGTTTTTGGCACCATTTCAGTCGCTTAATATTTGTCTCTTCTGTTATTTTTATACATCTTTCTTCTTGCCGTTTTTCTTTCTTTCTCATACTCCTTACATCTGGCTTCCACTTTCTCTCTCTCCTCATTAACGCCTCTTCCTTATTGATTCTTACTATTTCGCTCTTTCTTTCTTTGTTCCGTTTTACTCTCCCTCTTCCTCCTTCTTGCTCTCAATCTCCTAACATCCCTTTCCGCACCCGTTGCTATGCTACACCCTAACACTATGTTATGTCCTGCTAACCTGCATGGTGGGACACTTTGTTACAAGACTTGTCGTAAGATTACGAGTACACCGTTTCGTTTCCCCAATTACCAAGAAAACTTCTCGTGAAGAATTTCTGTACTTTTTTCTTGCAATTCATTTCCCATCAATACTCGTTCTACCGCCCACAAAGCAATTACGTCCCGACCTGTAAAATCTGTCCCATGTATTCTGGTCGTGAAGCAGAATAAGATGAAGATGGTGCGTGCCTGTTCATGGTAACGGAAAATTTAACATCTCCACTTCAATAAAAAGTAGCAGGGAACTGCATGTAAGCACATGCCTTTGGTGTTTATTTCGTGCAAAGATCGCGCATTGAAAACGTGCGTACACCTTCACTCTCGTTTCGAATGAGTATAGTAATCATCGTTAATAATTTCTCCATTTCTGTCAGACTTCGTCTGGTGCAAAACTTTTCTTCACTATATTATCAGCTCAGGAGCTTCAGGAAAGTGTGACCGGGTCGTTTTGGCACTATATGTTTACTACAATTTCAAATGAAGGCATGCCTTCTGTGATCCATGTTTTATTAGCAAAAGTTTTGTTTTTGCAGATCCGCCTGTTGTTTCATCAATGGACGCAGTGATAGAAAAGTGTGAACCAGCTACGGATTACAAATTTGTGAGTATTATTAGAATCTCGATACTCCTTTGAGCTATAAGCTCAAATTGTTGAAGGTTAAGGTCCGCTGTAGCTGACCCAGTGCACAGGTGTCCTTTATTTCCCGTGAGTGTTGTAGACGTTTTTGTTTGTGTATTCGCTAAAATACAGGCACTCTCGCACTTTGAGGTCTGCTCTCACGCAAACCATACCAAGGAGGTTCCTAATTAAGATTCTTTTTTTAGTTTCTCGCTCTAGAGCATGCAAATCAGGGCCACTTAATTAGTGACCTTGCATACACAGCGCATCGTAATAAGTAACCCTCCTTGGGCGCGTAGCTCCTTGAGTCAAATCTAAATGTTGCTCTTAGATCTGCTTAATTCAGCGAAAGCACACCATTCGTTAAGAAGTACGCAACGATAAAATGCTATTTTTTTTTTTGTTCTCGTTGTTGTGAAAAACCTCCGCTTGTTCGCATAGGCTTTGCTTAGTGCTATCTGTTGTATAACACACCTAAATAAAAGAAGGGTAAATGAGGCTCGATTCATTATCAACATGGCCCGTACGCTGCAGTGCCCTGTAAACATGGTGCTTCTGACATTCAATGCAAAACTTAATACAATAGTCACGCTTAGCGCACCAATCTGGGCGAGGTACGTAATATCCGTAAATTAAAGAGGCGGAAAGTAATGTTTCAAAATTTCATTTATTCACTTTTGGCCATATCAATTACTTGACGTGCTGCTTTTGTGCAGCGCTAATGAAATAAAAATAAACACACTAGTAAAAAATAAAGCACAGGAAAGTGGCTTGAGCCGTTTATCATGTACGGCGAGAGAGCCTTTTTTTTAAGGTATAGAATGCCAAGCTCAGTAATAAAGGCCCAATGGCGGCTGCCATGGCAAGCGCTAGGGGTGATATTAAGCCAGAACAGGTGGAAAGGTTTCCCTACCAAACCAGACAACAACCTTTGGCGGAAAAGATGTGAAGGCTAGAATGAGGAGTGCATTCTTCACTACCGTCACTATGTATATAACACAATGGTACGTCAGAGGACGTTAGGCTTTTTTATTAAAATGATATATAAAGAGATGTTGGAGCACAAGTAAAGCATGAGGTACTTCTTAGCCTTTGAGTAACTAGTGCACATCTTCCTTGGAAAACCGTTGAGGTTGCGAATAAATTTCTCATTGGATAGTGCACCATCCAATTAAATATCAAAACATGGCATTTCTTCACAAGGATAGCAGTTTAGGCTAGTTGGTATCACATGGTTTTTTTCAGTGTTTAGCAAAAGTAAGAGAAAAAAAAGCACTCGCTGTCACGCACGGTAACAAGTATTTTCAACACCTGCCTTTCTCTCCTTTTCCTCTGAGTTGCACGAAACACTCTCAACGTCGTAATGTTTTAATTGCTCGCCAGTATTGACAGCTAGTATCTTACCTCGTAGATCATTTATACAGAGGTGAACCCAGTAACGATACTTCGTAGATTATTCAGCCGTGTGGAATTATGCAGTTCGTGCAGCACAAATAAAAAAAAAGAACAGCTTGTTTGCCACCACTACTAGGCTAATCACGCTGCAGCGCATTCAGTTCAATAAAAAATCGCACATGTATAGCAGCCTAAATACCTCATTATGGTGCAAGTTTCCGGTTTTTTTGCAATTATTACAACGAACCACATTGTAAGATATGGGCTCATTACAAAATTCTCTTCTCTGAGTCCCCAAAATCTATATGCGCTAGTTTAGCCCTGCATTATGTTGTAAAGCTACGATGTGAGCTTTAAAACACCTCACGGTATTTTCTTTCTGTGTTCCACCTGTAACGTCTACCAGTTAAGCCCAGCGTCAAGCTATACTGCATTGTACTTAATTAACAGCACAAAAGACAATACTAAAGAAAGATATGACATACATCAACTCGCGTGGCAACCAAATTTCCTAGACTGCTCTTCTAAGTAAGTTTAAGCACTGCTGCGCTTGGCAGTATATGATGTCAATTATAAAAGAATACTGGGGAGCTGCGAGGCTACCATATCTAACGAGACTAATGTCGTACCGATGGGTGCGTTCGTACGTTGCTTTTCCTTCGCGCTCTAATGGCATAAATTTCATAGTTGACAATAAGTTTCAAATGTAAGGCAATTTTGCAAGACAATAATAGAGTATAAGGTCCAAGTGTTCGACAAAAAGCACAGACTACACAGTGTGGCATCAAGTGTGCATACTTTCTGCACAAACTCTATGACTGATATCATTACTCAGGGCACTCAGTGATGAAAGAATGCCATGGAAGGTGACTAATACCTACCGTTGATGTCAGAAGGACTTATTGTGATCATAGCACAGCAAACGGGGACAGAAGGAAAGTAAACCACATTTTCAGTAGAACAAGTTTATCCTAAGAGGCGAGAATCCTACATGATTGGCCAACTATGTGTAGACTTATCAAAAAGCATTGGTATTATGTACAGAATATCTAAACTGATTCTCCTATACTGGGTAAACTGGTGTGCGCACAAAAAAACAGACAAACGACAGCAGAGAAGAGACAGGGACAAGCGCAGTATGAACCAACTCGCCCAGCTACAAGTTTTATTGATTCTCCTATGGCTGAAACAACAGCTATACAATTGCCTTTTTTATTCAAAGCTGTGCTATGGAGCTCTGGTGTGGGGAACAACTAGCAAAACTAACTACAAGAAACTTGTACTTCTACAAAAAAGGGTTTTTCGCATGTACTGCAAACACCAAGAAAATTACGCAAACTTGAGGACAGCACCTTTATTTCAAAGACATCATATGCTTCGTGCCGATCTAGTCTATTATAGGAAAATATTGCAAATCATATGCAGCAGAAAACTGTATGAGCCCAACGAAGGAGCTAGACAACACACTTATCCGATCCGCCAAATCTTACGTCATCCACAACGAACAAGAACAAATTATGGTAAACAAACTTTTACCCATCAAACAACTTGCATATTAAACAAATTAGAACATAAGCTAAATTTTGATTGTACAGAAAAAGCATTTAAAGTACAAGGTAAAGAAGTGCTACTGCAAGAAAACAAACTTTTTGATGGATCCTAAAAAATACTGATTTTAGCAATGGTAGTAGTCGGGCGATGGGAATATTGTACAGCATGTATTTTATAAACTATAAAATATAATGGTATGTATCACATGTCTCTAATGTTCTAGTCTGAATTCTTCCTGAGTGATTGTTATTTAAGTATGTTATGTAGTCAGTATGTTACAAGATTTGTATAATCAGTCAGATTCAATATAACATGATATTTTTGTCAGCTATTCTTTGCTCTGTTGCTTCTTTTGTTCAAAAGGGCTGCATGCCGCGAGGCTGTTTTTTTATTTTTATTTTTTGATGTACGAACTGTGTACAAGGGTGTTGGGTCCTCTGTCAAGCTATATGTTTTTAGCCCCAACATCCTTTTGTTTCTTGTGTCTTGTACAAGAAAACAATAAAAGAAATTTTTGAAAATTGGAAAAAATTAAAATGATACACCCATTCATGCTAGGATGTCACCCAACAACACAAGTCCACCGTCATACTTACGCTCTATTAGAAGCCCTTTCCTGTTAGTTTCTTCCTTCGAATTTTATTGGAACTGATAGTCTCATGGCATAGGTGAAAGAAGAAGGGGGCATGATCAATCGTCAGGAGAGGTCAGAGCGTTAGAGGTCATTGGAGCGTCGGGACAAAACAGTGTTTTTCATCAACGTAAGTTTCTTCCTTAGTATTCCTTCACCATAAGCCAACTAAACCAACAACACGTTCTGGTGACCCCATGGCTGCACCCGTCTACAGGTGTAGTGACTCTAATAAACATATATTAACTAACTTCCGCTCAAGAAATGACCAAAGAACGGATTGAAATCATGGCCATCGCATTTGGAATCTGCCCCACTGACCAAAACACGACAAAGCTACACAAATGGGCTACTTCTGCACACCTATATAGTTCCCATGTCGGTTAAGAATTTCACATTGTCTGGCTTTGAAACATTCTAATATTTTTATTTTCGTATGATATTTACCGATCTACTGGCGCACAGTCTAGTCGGTCAGTGCCCATCATTTCTCGCCGGTTTTACCCCTTATATATATTTACTCTGTGAGATATGAGCTTATCAGTAAAACACGTTCTATAGGGTACTAAAGTAGTGCCTGAGAGTACAGATATGCGCCTAGGGAAGCCGAGAGGGCGACAGTGTTGGAATAACAAGTAAGTCAATGAAGAAACCAGTCGGTCTCTTTTCAGCCAATGTGGCCGAGTGTCTCATAAAATGCTCTTATCAGAGGTATACATTTTTGTTCGTTTTGTCAGATGTCGCGCTTCTCACTACGTGCGCACATATTGTGGCGCATAGGAGAGTGAATATGCCTATTCTCACTTTAAAAGCGTTAGCCAATTTCTAGTTTTTGTATAAGGCAAGAGCGTCAAATTTATAAGAAAGCTCACTCTAAAAAGCATTTCGCTGCATCATTCCAACGAAATATCTCTTGAGACTACGTGCTTGTCGACGACGGGCTTACAGGAGGGCACAGAGTTCCAAAAAAAGCTTTGATTGGACACGTTATAACCACTTCGATGCATCCAGTAGGCGCCACACAAAACAACTTCGTCGAAGAAGCTGGGCCACATTGTCTAGCTCGTTGCATATGGCGAGTGGTTTTGAGAGTGTATGGCGCATAGTGAAGGCATTCCGAACACCTGAGGTCTGCAAGAGCCCAACTACGGCCCTGTGCGTCATGACTGGACGGCCTCCGAAAATTCTTGCGGAAGATTTTTCTTTTATTTTCACCTGTCCTATGTCAAAAGACAACGCCAGTCACCACTCCGTATTAACAATTTTATATGGACCTCCGTGCAATATAGATGAGGCATAATTTACCCTGGCCGAGCTGCTTCATGCATTTAGACTCTTTAATTGTCACACTGCCCCAGGCGAAGGGGGTGTTACGTACAAAGCCTTGTGAAACATTGATGAAGTCTTTCATCAATGTATCCTGGACGAATACAACAAAGTGTGGAAAGCGAGTCTGATTCCTGCTAAATGAAAATCGTCTGTGGTGACGCCAATTTTAAAGCCTTGTCCCCCTGCACAACTCCTGAAGTCATACCGGGCAACATCACTTACTTATAATGGAATGAAGCTGATAGAACTTATGGTGCTGTTTCGTCTGGACGCCAGATTACAGGAACTCACTTTCATTCCTGATGTCATCAGTGTATTTTGTCGCCACTGTTCAGCCCTCGACAGCATAGCAGATATTGTATTATCGCTTGAATCTGCTCGAGCAAACAGACATTCAGCGCATGTTCTATTTCTTGACATACAGCAAGCGTTTGACTCGGTGCCACATAAGGCGATAATTTGTGCACTCATGAATGGAAGAATTTCAGGTCGTCTGTTACATTTTGTCCGTCATTTTCTATCTGTGCGCAGAATGAAAGTGCATATTGAAGAAGTACACAGTCAACCTCGCACTGTTAAATGTGGTGCCCCCCAAGGCAGCGTCTTGTCATCGCTTCTCTTCAACAGCGTACTTGCGGAACTTCCCGGCAGATTACCGCAAGAATGTGACTTTCCTATAGGCATAGCGATTTATGCTGATGACATCGCACTCTAGGTCCGTGGTCCGTCATACTGTGGTCCACGTCTTTGTGGTATATTGCAGCGAGCTCTGAATGCTACTTCAGAATACTTGGTGGAAGTTGGCCTGCAGGTTTCACTTGCGAAGTCAGCTGTGATCGCATATCATCCAAGGCAACGCACTCGTCGAAGCCTTAGCAGACTTTACCTCAGAGACACACCGATACAGTGGGTACACCAACATCACTACCTGGGTGTAATCATCGATGATCGCCTTTCTTGGCGCCCTGCTGTTAAAAATATGAGGTGAACATCGCTGTCCCTTTTCAACAATGTAGCCGCCCTGACTGCTAGAGGTGAGAGCATGGATCAGAAGACGGCACTACAGGTTTATCAATCAGCTGTACTTTTTTGCGTGATGTATACCTTGCCTGTCTTGAATGTACCGCCTGCTTTAATGTCTCAGCTGGAACGGGATCATCATGTTGGCCTCCGAGTACTGTTTGGCTTACCTCGTGAAGCCCAATCCGTCCTACTACTGACTGAAGCACACCAGTTGCCGGTAAGGCCGCAAGCTGACCAGAGAGCACTACATCGTATTGAGTGCCTGAACCGAGCCCCACATGGCAAGACACTCCTTAACAGGCTGTTACAGCGCCCACTTTCTCGAATAAGTAAAATGGCGGCTTTGTTCAAAGATATTACTGGCAATTCTGGTGAAACTATTGAGTTGCCAACATCGACATAGCACAGGTCATGTGCCTTCCCTACAAATCTGTCAATTCCAGGAATACGCAAAAAGTGTAACCAACCGGTTTCGGAACTATACCATTAGCCTATTCACATTTATTTGAAAACTTCGAAGACAATGTAAAAGTATTTTCGGACGTTTCTGTACGCAGCAATAGCCTGAGCACTTCTGCAGCTTTTTTCTGCCCTTCAACCGATATCAGGCGGTTGTTTAAAATAGCACGCCCCTTATCGCCGGTGACGGCCGAGCTAGCAGCGATTGATATCGCCCTTAAGTGCGTAAAAGAAGGGTTGCCAGCATCGAAGGTCGTCATCCTCACCGACTATCGTGGTGCCCTTTGCAGACTCACCAGCAAGGAGACAACAGCCCTATTCTGAACAGCGTCATGGAATCCATTAACAGTATTCGGTCACGTGGGGTATGCCTAGCTGCACAGTGGGTACCTTAGCACGTGGGTTTTGCGGGCAATGAAGAAGCGGATCGCCTTGCTTCGTCATGCAACAATGATGACTGTGACTGTCTGGAAATTCTATGTACGATGGACGCCCTGCCGTGGTGGTCTAGTGGCTAAGGTACTCGGCTGCTGACCCGCAGGGCGCGGGTTCGAATCCCGGCTACGGCGGCTGCATTTTCGATGGAGGCGGAAATGTTGTAGGCCCGTGTGCTCAGATTTGGGTGCACGTTAAAGAACCCCAGGTGGTCTAAATTTGCGGAGCCCTCCACTACGGCGTCTCTCATAATCATATAGTGGTTTTGGGACGTTAAACCACACGTATCAATTATTATGTACGATGGACAACGCTCGTCTCCTTATACGCCGACACTTCTTAAAGCAGTATCCTGACCAACGTGTGGCGAATAAATCGTTCCCTCTCGGTTTTCGTTTCCGTGGCTTGCTTCGTAGTTCCTGAACGCTGTTGTACAAACTAAGAGTGGGGTCTGGGCTGGTGCATGAATGATTACACCGTCAAAAACGTGTGGACAGCCCGTTGTGCGCAGCTTGTGGCTCCTACGAAACACTTGAGCATCTCGTAGTGCACTGTTTCACATTTGCTACGCAGCGGTCTTTGCTGATTAAGGAATATAATTTTCTAGGACTTAAGTTCGCGACCCTAGACGACTACCTCTTTCAGAGTGGTAGTGCTTCCCGACGCGACCAGGCCCACTGAACTCTCCTTACAATTATGAACCAAACGAACCTGGCCACCCGTTTATAGATGGTCTTTTTTTCTTTTTTTATATTTTTATTTATGTTTATTTTTACTCAAACTCAATGAAGTCTTCGTTATTTTTTTCCTTCCTCAGCTTCTTTCCTATTTCTCCCCTCTATTCTTTGTTTCATCTGTTTCTTCCCTCCTCCCGAAAGAGTGAGCAGGCGTTGTGCCCCTCCTGGTGGCCGTTGCCAGCTTGCTCTCTCCCTCTTTTCTCTGTGCCCTTGTGTATCTGTGTATGCAAATCAAATACTAATAATAAATAATACGTTAACCGCCAACAGTAACGTAATCGGCGTTTTGGGAACATCGGCAGTAGTGGGAACATTACGAACAGGAAACGCTACGTTACAATGCGACGCACTTCCTCAAGTTGCACAGCATAGTTGCCACATCTGTTTTTATTATTTATTTTTAGTTCATCTGGAGACGTATCTACCAGCCATGTCAATATCTTTGTGCCGGAGGTTTCATTGTATTCGAGAACGAAGATGATGGAACAGCGTGCTCGGTGAGATCGCTTTTCTGATTCACTAACGAATACATAACTTGACTAATGTCGAAGTAGCAGCCAAAAATCCACGCTATGCTTCCTTTATTTGACAAAAAACTTTTGCTCTCTCACACTGGAACCATGGCCAAACGCAATTCGAGATTGTCCTCCTACATTTTTGGTTATCCAAGTGGCTAGTGTATCTATGCGGTAACAAATAATAAACAATATGATGTGGAATAGAGGATTTGTTACCACGTCTGTATGCCTTTTTAATTTTTCACTGTTTTACTGGTACGCGGATTGCGTTTCCAGTGGTACCAGAAAGCATACTTTAGCAGTTGTTTAGCTCCCTATGCATGAACAATCACATGCGTGCATAATGATGCGTGTTTAGTGGACACACTACTGATAAATAGTAATAAATGAATTTACACTCTATTCAATAAACGAGAAATTCAGAAAATCGTGGGCAAAAACAGACATAACGCAGGGTAACTCGGTATACGAAGTGTGTATAGAATAACGGGTTACCGGACAACGGCGTAGGAACCTTGTGATACTTCGGACAATCATAATTACAGACATGGTTGTTCTTGCCTAATATTTTCTACGGCAAAAACACAGAGTGGACAATTTATTCTTAATTACGTTGCTGCTAGGAATTTACACCGGCAGGGAAGTATGCATCATGTTTAGCAGTAATGATTTTGTTTTTGCCTTTTTCATCGCGACCCTCCCAGATGAGACCACCTATCCGCCCCACTCACGTTTACTAAAGTAACGCAGCACAGACAAATAAGTCGCAACTGGAGCTCGCACTTGAGCTTGTGCAGGTTGGCAGATGAGGATCCCTGAAGCGAAATTCGCGAATACTCCCATTCAGCGTCAATTAGCGAAATAAGACCTTAAACGTAAAGTATTTCCCGAATGTTGTTGACGTTCTATACACACCAGCACGCGCAGGTTCATTCCAGTATTCCGGAAGCAAGTAACCTCGAGAAGAGTGCACGGAGGAACCAAATACCTTTAATGACACGGGCACCTGCTTTACATAATACCCATATGTATAGTGTTACCAATTACGTTACCGTCATGCTTGCAATTGCTGGACGCCTGGCTAGCTTTGACTGCGGTGCGACGACCCAGTAACGGTATTCTCGGACTCTAACGCTGCCCGAGAAAACATTTTTGGACATAAGGCTTTCATGTGGCAAATCGAAGTCGATTTACTTTGTGGTTTTACCCTACAAACATGTCGAGGAAAACCTTTTTTTTTATATCAGGTTTCTTTCATCGTGCGGCTTTTGGGTGAAATTATTTGCCGCATTGGACTACTTTGTTATATTTGCAGCGAGTACTTGCGTGGCCTGCGAAAATGGCGCAAACCTAATGTATAAGTATATCTCCACAATATGAGCGTGCTTCGTAAAATTTGATGTAAAATTGATACTTGAAGTATTGTGATTTGTTTATTCTAAGCAACCTCTTGCTTCATTAGTGATGTCTACATTGACATATATAATATACATGATATCGTTCACGTTCTGGTACCTCATCTTTGTACAAAAATCTTCGTATTTTAAATGATCACTGAGCACGAGAGCACTGTACATGCTAAATTTTGATGAGGTGCGTGATTTTAACGGTGGCCTCAGGGTGACATAATGACCAAGCTAGGAGCAGTGGTGAGCGATCCAAAATGACATAGAGTGCTTTCCTTTACTCTATATATCTATCCACGGGAATTTCATATTTTATACTAAGCCAATTTACTAGCGCTTTTTCAGTTTACCACGAGCATGCGCATGAAAGTGGTAGTTGCACGATCTATAACATGCACTGTTATTAATAAACAAACATTGATTTCAGACCCTGTCAGTGCCTAACGGAGAGTGCCTAAATGGCAAGTGCGTCGGCGCAAACAAGACGCCTGATGCGCCGGGCGTTCCCTCTACAACTGTTTTTGTTGAGGACGCAGTGACAACTTCAGGGAGCTCTATCGCTGAAATTCAAACAGCTGGGAGCACAGGTCCCGATGACACACGCGGTCAGGAGGAAACAGAAGCAACGGAATTCGCAGCACTGACGTCTACCACGAGTGGCACAACAGATGAACATGCAAATGCTGCTGGTGAAGAAGCCCAAGTGGATGAATATTATTCAGCAGCACCTTAAAAGTGCAGTTTAAAGCTACAGATGCGTGTTAGGTAGGTTGCAGATAATTTGTATAGAAATTCGTGGAAGCTATTGATTTAGGGAGCCAGCAGCAGCACAACGCATAATATGGAAGGCTGCCTCTCCACCTCATTTAACGAAGCTGCGAAGTGTAAGTTAGCGTTTGTAAGTTAGCGTTTGTATGTATTGTAAGTTTTGAACCCACTAGCGCATAATTAGATCATAAAGGTTAGGACCAATTGTTGATTTAGATTAAACATCTTTTTTGATATCGCATGGTTTATTCGTCACTGCTCATATACACAACAATAAGACAATACGGGCAAGTACTTTTTTTTATTATAAAAGGCACCATGTCATTGCCAAGTATTGCAAAACTTTTGTAACTGATTTATTAAATTTGTAGCTCAAGATATCCTTAATATTGAGTCAAACAAGAAAAAACGTGCCCTTCAATGTACACGTAACTGATTAAAGTTGTATACAGCCGTAGATTGACAATCTTTCTCATAATTCGACTCACTCTAACTCAAATCAGGCTCAAATCTAGGCATGGGTGTGAGTGAGTCTGGTTGAAAAATATTTTCGTGAATGTGAGGCTGAGTGAGTTCAACCCACGAATTTTTAGTGAGTCTGAGTTCATGCGAGATCACAGCACGCGATATACTGCTTTAGTGAGTCTGAACGAGCTCTACTTTTTTTTTTAACGACCCATGATCTTATCAACTCATATTCAGTAATATTACCAGCCTTACGGGGATTCACGTTTACACTCATATTTAGACGCCTTTCCAAGTAGTGCCGTGCATATAAAATTTCAATAATAATTGAACAGAGGCATGCATTACGTTGCAGGTGCTTTGACATACCTCCCGCTAAGTCTTGGATGTGTGTTCCTGATAAAGTATTCTTATTCTGTCATTGCTGTCAACAAAATAACCTTATTTGCTTAAAAATCACTCATAAGCTCTATTCGAAGGTAATATATCAAAAGGAGCCAAGAAAAGCACCAAGTATATAAAACATTGTTGTGAAAGAGCATTGAAACACCCTCAAAAGAATTCTGGGCTGACTCACGAGTTTATATCTGAGCTAATGGACTCGCGAATCTCATGAAAAAATAGATGAAATTGTCGGTAATACCATTTGCGTGGCCTGTCCTTCCTTCATGCGACATATCTCACTAGTAGGTTTAGGAAGTATGCTGTTGTTGTGGCAACAAGCCGAATGTCTTCCCTTGTCAATTAGCGCAATGAGCACCCTAACTCCAGCATAGCAGAAAGTGGATTGACGCAGTGAAACTGCAGAGCCTTCAAAACACCAATCATATCTTATAAGAAAGGGGTAATAAAAGTATAAGTCAGAGGCTGTAAGGCGGATGGGCTGTCTGCATTACACTCGAAAAGCAGACAGACAGTCGAGAAGGAAGTAGAAGAATTAAACTTGTTAGTTTTTTTTCTAGACAGCTTACGTTACGACAGTGCATTTACCAACGTTTTGAATAAATATAGCTCTTCAGCCCACAAGATTTTGCATTCGAAGACGCTCGCTTGTGCCTCCTTATGTGTTTATGACGGCCAACTAACGTCATTAAAGATAACACCCTTATGTCGAGGTAATATGCCAGCTGGCGAGATAGAGTACGAATGGGACATGACGGTTGAAATGTTGCAAAAAGATATTTGTTTGCTTTCTTCCAGGAGCACGACGTACCTAGTTGAGAGAGAATATAAATACCTTGTCGACTTGGAAAATGTATGAAAAACAAAGTAAACAAAATATAGGCTTCATATTGTGCATAAAGCAGCCAAGATACAGTAAGTAGAAACATTAGGAGAGCTAAAATGTAGTGATCACTGGCTAGTGTGCATGAGTATTAACCTCAGCTGGGAGAAAACAAGAACCAATTTGATTATTGGCAGTCAAACATAAATATTATTTGGAGAACGGTACCTGCACTTTAGGATTGCCCTTGAGAAAGATCATAATGATTATGGGAAGAAGAAAATGACGACACCATCTTCACATAATTATATGTCATGATAAAGCAGTTGGAGAGGAAAGCATAAAAGTTGGTTCAACGCCATGGTGCAATTAACTAAAATAAGAGTAAGCAGAGTAAAATTTACTTTTAAGAAAGTTATGATACACCACTTAATTTGTCAACACCTCACCATAATCACCAACCGGAAAAACAAAAATGTCACAAAAAAGGCACGCACAAAGGGCTGAGAAGGTACAGAACCATCACTTCACTTTCAATACTGTTCGAATGTTTATCAAATCTAAGTTTTATTAGATTAAAAGATGCTGCTGAGTTTAAAATGTTTCAAAAGTAAGCATTCGTATGACCGAGGGACACCATTACGTGGCTCTACCTCTCGGCGGTAGCAACAGCGCCCGGCCGCAAGTAATGGCGAAATAAGCTAAATATAATCATATGTAACAAACAAAAGCTAATATCAAAAAGGTCTTACAGATCTAAAAAACAGATTCTCACTGGGCCGTATTCGCGAAGTTTCCTATTCTACTACAGAATTAACAATAACTGTGGAAGTTCAAAGACCCAATACCACAATATGATTATGAGATATACCGCAATGGAGTGCTTCGAAAGTTTTGGCCCCCTAAGGCTCTTTAACGCGCAGATAAATCAATAACCGCAATAAGAAGCGCCTGGTTTCCCAGCACAATAAGAAAGGAGCTGAGGTTGATGACAATAAAATACAAAACCTCTGCAGCCCTTTTTGAGGACACTCCTCTCTTCACCCACACACGGAGGTGCCTTATGGAGTATTTAAGCTCTGGAAAACCACATGATTTGTAGTGGGACTGTAATTTCCCCTCAATGCTTCAGCGAGGCTCTGATGTAGCCAAACGGGACTCCTTTTTTGCAACTTGCGTTTTTATCAGCTGTCATTTTGTTTGCTTTTTTTTCTCATTTAGAGCCGGTCGCCACTGCCACCGCGTAGTTGTGACGCTACATGCACATGTTAGGTATACTTTTCATGCTGGCTTCCTCGAGGAACTATGTATCTCAGCTGGACAATCAATCATGTAATAGAGAAATGTGCTGAGTACTATTAACTCTTTTATACGGTCAACTACGAAAAGGCATTCGCCTCAGGGTCACCTGTTCTGAAAGCAGTGCGTGGGCAAGAAGTCATTGAGACTTACATGTGCATTACGGCCCCAATCTACAAATATTCTACAGCTACGAAGTTCCTCCACAAGGAATGAGAAACAAACTGCGATTGCGAAATGAATTGAACAAAAATTATTTCTGCGCTGTTGTTGACAGCACGCATTGAAGAAGCAATCAAACGCTAATATCGGCAACAAAAAATAACGACGCTCACCAAAGAAGGTCTCAGCGACTTGAACCTTTCAAATAACCTCTTGCTCTCGGATATCTATAGAATATAGTAAAAAATGTATTAGTGCAAACATCAGGTGAGAGGTGTCAAGGCGGGTTGAAATATAGGTACGCATCAGATAAGTAAAGTTTGTGATTACACTTGGTATAATATGAAAACGCCTTTATTCTTGAGTCGCAGACTGGCAGCCTGAACGCAAATAGTGTGGAACAGTGATACTCTGAACAGCCTATATACACAAGCTATCTCTTGACGCATGCGCAGCGAGCATATAGATTGAGAACACGCACATAGACAGCACCAATGAAGCCAAAATACTTTCTTCAGGCACAATTTTAGAAATTATGAGAAGTCATGCGCTCTGGTGGGCGCCGTTGCCTTGCTCTCCATTCTAAGGAAACCGGCTGCTCACAATTGTTGGAAGTGAGAGTGCCGTTGATAGCGATGGCTCTGACTTTTGGTTGGTCGTCGGCGTAGTAGTGGTGATGTGCGATGCATGTGGTAATTTCACTTCCAGTGATGGGTCTTGTTGTGCTGTTAGTTCAATGTCCCATGGTCGCAGGTGGTCCGCATGAACCAGCCGCAATGTGTTTCGCATATTCACTAAATACGTTGAAGACGATTTCACACACGTCACATCTGTAGGCCACTAGTTCAAAACTGGTTCCTGCACAGAAGTACCGGTACTTGACCACAAAGAGCTAACATTCGAGGTAAACCTCAGTGCCTGTTAGCAGTTTTTAGGGGTAAAGATCCTCAAAGCGTGGGTAGTGCGTCCCCTGTATGTAGTAGCCACCTAGTAAGTATGCATGCACATACATACATACATACATACATACATACATACATACATACATACATACATACATACATACATACATACATACATACATACATACATACATACATACATACATACATACATACATACATACATACATACATACATACATACATACATACATACATACATACATACATACATACATACATACATACATACATACATACATACATACATACATACATACATACAGGCAGAGAGACGGACGGATGGAGTGACAGACGTGACCAACGGATTATTCACGCCTTGCAGATACAACCATTCAAAGCTTTGCCCCACTCATCATCATTCACTCCGTAGATATGCTGTGATTTTTTAGGGGCGAAGCTCCTTATGTCGTCGCTTGTGCGTCCCCCGTTGTCGTTCTGCGTAACCTGTGCCGCATACCCGCATACCAAAGGCACATACCCGCCCTTGTGCACATATGCGTATGTTCCCATGTTACAGAAAAACGTAGCACGACGTCGTTATCTCGCTCTCGCTGTGAACAATGCGCTGACAGAGTAAATGTGGTACGTACTCTCGTTTAGTCCTTGGATTGTCCACTGGCTGACGGTACTTGTATATGACGAATATATGATAGAAAGAAGCGAGATGGTGGTCCTTGATGTGTTCACTAAATGAACGGATGAACGCTTGGGCAAACAGACGGACGGGCGCATGGACGCACGCACGAATGGACGCATGGATGGACGCACGAACGGACACAGGAACGGGCACACGTACGAAAGAACGGACGCATGGACGGATCAACGAACGCTTCGGTCCACTCATCATCATTCATTCCATGGATATGCTGTGATTTTTATTCATTTCTGTTTGAGCACTCTTCGTATTTGTTACGTCGTCCGCCGCTCTCTTCGCCCAAATATTGAAGCAAGTGTTCTTTACGTGAAAGTTTGAGGTGTAGTTCAGTATAACATAATGCGAAGTTTTCTGACCTTTGTTGCAACGTTCTCTTTTTTTGGTCTCTTTTGAATCTTCTAGCACCCGTTTGAACAGTGCTTTTTTTAGTTATGGTAATAGCATGCTCTGCTGCACCTCTAGACAACAGTTAGTATGGCGTCACTAGGGTGTGCCTCACAGCGTTAACTGCACGAAAATATTTCTTTTGAACTCAGCTTGAACTAAACTGTGTGAAACTGTAGGTTGTTTGTTGTCCCTCACTACCTCCAGAGGAAGGATATGTACCGCGAACCAACAACGCACTAATTCAACAGTGTTCGCTGTGCTTGTTACACTCATTATCTGAGTTTCAATTCATTTGGAAT